CTCCACAGCGGTCCTCTGACTTCCATGTGTGCTGTGGCACAATGTGCACCTATACATACACATCATGCATACACGGATTTGTGAAACATATCAAAATACATTGTGCCACTAGGAAAGAGAAAACAACTCACTTGTCACCTCTTTAACCTGCCTTAGTTTGTCTTAAACTCTGTCACCTCCCAAAATACCAAATGGAAGGTCTGTACTCCTTACCATTTCAGATCACTGGTTCTGATCCCATCTATACCACCCCTGAAAGGCTACAGTGATTGGCAATCAAGGGTTGCTACTGGGGGGGGGTGCAGAGATGGCTCAGCAGTTAAGAGCACTGGCTGCTCTTCCAGAACACCTGGGTTCAATCCCAGCACCCACGTGGCAGCTCACAAAGGTCTGTAACTCCAGTTCCAGGGGATCCAACACCCTCACACAGACATACATGCTGGCAAACACCAATGCACATAAAATAAAAATAAAAAAAATAATTAAAAAAAAAAACAGTTGCTAATACTGAACAACTTCCTACCCAGAAGAAACCACTAAAAACACTCCTTGGAGGACCTGAGGAGATGTTCCAGGGGGAACAAGGACTTGAACTCAGATCCCAAAATTCACACAAAAAGCTGAACAAGCCAGTGCACACCCATAATTCCAGCACTGGGAGGCAGACACAAAGCCATCCCTAGGGTGCACTGACCCCTTAGTCCAGCTCAACCGGTAAGCTCCAGAGTCCCTGTCTCAGAATGTCTGATAAAAATATTTGTGCTCCAGGTACTGGAAAATTTGACTAATAGTTGATTTTTTTTTTCTTACATTTGGTCCTGGTTAATGCAGGAGGGTGTTTGCGTGGTGCACCTGAGACACCTATGGGGCTCTGGCCTCCATGCACAAGCGCGCGCACACACACACACACACACACACACACAGAGACTTCCCCTTCAGGGAAGGTGGTGCACCTGAGACACCTATGGGGCTCTGGCCTCCATGCACAAGCGCGCGCACACACACACACACACACACACACACA